TTATTCATTCATTTATTTTTAAATTTCTGCAGTTGTTACTTCTCAGGTTTTTAAAGACTCCCTTGACCCTCTGGAATTATAACAGTTCTCTGTCTTTTTAGAACCAGACACTTATAATGTTAATTTTTGATAGGATTTTTTTTTGTACAATTACCTTTACATTTCATGTGAAGGACAGAAATAATGTGGGGTATGATTAGCTCAAATACTTGAAATTGGACTTTTTGTTAAAATTCGTTAGGTAGTGAATTTTATCCAATCAAAGAAAATCCTCTTTTTCTAAATTACGATTTATATCAGAAAGTAAATACAATGACATCATTATAAAGGACATTCTTATATATTTGTGTTGCTTTTCTAAATCTATGTAACTCTGTTGCCTCTCCAATTAAGCTGGACAACAATGTTCCAGGAAATGAATCAAAGACATTATGTATCAGGATATAGTTTTTGGATATAACCAGAAAAATTTTAGAGAAAAATAGCAAATATCAGTACTGGTTTTAGTCACTGTTTTGTGAATCCTGAAAATGTCATTTAATAGAATTGTTAACACAAAACTCAGCTTTTTATTCTTTCAAATAAATGCTGCTTATTTAACTGTTGTATCAAAAAGTTGGAGAAAGGAATTTTATTTCCTCAGAACTGGCTTGTCAAATACACTATAATCTCAAAATGCAACAAAATAGATGATAAATAGAGCAAAGACTTCTTTTACATGAAATATTGAACAATTCCAATATACGACAATTTCAGAAAAAAACTATAATGCATTTTAAATAAGCATTTACACTAAAGTGATTATTTGTAATGCATGAAACATCTTTAATTGCTCCAATTAATATGTTTCAGAAGAATAATATTCTGTGAGAAGTTCAATATATATTTTGTAAACTCAAAAATGTTGTTTCATTTTGCATTATATTGTCATAATTTCTCATGAGGGTTTTTCCTAAGTGTTTTATATGAAGTATATAGCTTAAAATATCTTTATAATTATTTGCCTCTAGATATTTCATTAAAGGCTGCTTATGGGACATTCATTTCATTTTTTCTATACGATCTTATAATAATGCACATACTATTAAACTAATTTAGCATTAGTTTGAATGTGAAAGAAAAATTAAATGTTAGACTACATTGCAGACACATTTATCTATACTGGTATGCTCATCTGGACACATATCTCAGAAATGGAAGGACATATATACATCTAACACAAGAATAACATATATACTTTCAGAAGTGAATATATTGCTGAAGATGGAAATAAAAGATATTTGATGGCAGTTTTATTAAGTTGCATTTTAATTTTATGCATCAAACTTTTGGAAATAAAAAATATGTTTAAAATAGCAAAATGAAATAGTTCCTCGACAGAAATAATACTTCCGCTTTTGTCTCCCAGAATGTAAATTATGTTGTTTTCATACTTAAAAGTTTGTGTAATTGAATATGTGGCCTGTTTATACTCACTAAATTTTATGTATATTATAGTATACAATATTGCACATATCCACATAAAATATATTCTTTGGTTATTAAACCCACAGAAAATTATTTCTTAAGAATAATATTAAATTGTCTGGATATAACATGGTATGCTTAATCATTTTTAAAATAGTTAGATAGATAATCAAAAAATTTCTTCTTTAGTATACGTCTTTAAAGTTTTAATTTTACCTTTCAGTGTATTTGAAACTTTTTATTCTATCATGCAGTTTAATGAATGGTTAATGACCTTGAATTTGTGAAGACTTACTCATTGCTTAGTTAGGTATGGATTTTTTAAAGTCCCAAAGCATTTATGAAACCTCTTTAACTTGTTAGTATTAAATCTCACCCTCCTGTGACTCTGGCCTATATCCCAGCTCTTGTATAAATAAAAATAAATCTTTAAAAAAAACAAACGAAAAAACCTCCCATGTCACCCCTGTGGTAGGTAGCCCTAGAAACCTCTGTTCAATTGATTAAGGCTTCGGGGTCTTCTCACCCCCTCCCCTTAGTAGTAATAGTTCTTATTGTTTTTCCCTTTGTCTCTGGCTACTTGTTGTATTCCCTCTGTTTATCAGGAGAGCTTTGTTTTATAAATTACAGTTTGCATTTGGTGCATAAATGTAAGAAATGTTCATTTATATAATTCTATTTATCCTCTTCTATATTTTTTGCTATCTTTGTCATTCAATTCAGTCCTACTTACAGTTTCTTTAAATCACTGCCTGCTAATATCAACATTAGGGAATTGGTGTGTGTTTAAATTTTTTCTTTTGATTATGGGTCACATTGTTTTGCCTCACTGCATGCCTCATAATTTATATTTATACTGTCTGTTATCATTGTTGAGCTACAAAGACTAAGTATTTTTATCTTTGATGAAATGTTGAATTTCATTAAGTCAGAGAAATAAGTTATTAGTAGATGACCTTAATGCCCTGTGGGCTCATAGTAGAGGTTTAATGTTGTTTGCCTTGTCTCCAATGTCTACACCTTGACTTTAGGTGCTTTTCTCCTAAGCTATGGCCTCTGCAGGGTTTTGATGAAAAGCTCATGATGTTTACCAACTTGTCTTAACTTGAAAGTACATGATTCTGTCTCTGTAGCAGCAAACAGCTGCTGAAATCTCAAACCAGGTTTTCAACATTTCAGCTAATGCTGTCCCCCAGGAAAAGTGTGCCCTAATTATGAATCAATAAAATATTGGAGAGTTCATATTCAGATTTCAGGGGCCTTCCCTTTTATGGTTCCTCTCCATTCAAATTCCACCTATTGTAGTTTCAAATGATGACCTGTAACATTTCTCCCCAATAAGAATACAAACTTCTACTTAGCCAACATGTTGTGTGTATTAAACAAGCTAGGGAGTATCCTTATGGAAAAGTCAGTTAAACTTAGATACCACCCAGGAGATTTCTTATTTCTCTAGGGTTGTATATCCTCCATTACAGTCTGATTTACATACTTTAGAGTGTCTTTAAAAAGTTAATTGACACTGACATGAAAGTTGGTCTGATAAAAGCTGCTCAACAATTATTAGAGACAGAAAGGCTATGCCAGGAATGTGTATTTATAGGTATTATGCATTATTTGCATATAAATTCCCTTTGATTTCCAGAAAATTTCTAAAACTGCATGTAATATAATATAATATTTAGGAGTAATTTTCCTAAATCTTGAACAACAAAAAATGTTTTAAGCCCTCTCCTATTTTTAAAGCTATAAGAAGCATAAAGTGATATGTGTGTAACTAAATTGTATTTCTTTGACTACTAATCTCTTTTAACATATTTTCATTTTTATCAAACATTCTGCTTTATTCCTTGTCTTTTCCTAGTTTATGGAGCCCTTCTGACCAGCAGTAAGCTATGATTTTTACCATAATAATCTGTTTCATAGTTTTTGTTTATATTAATAATTTTGTTCAAGTAAATTTTAATATTAATAAATATCATGTAATGAACACACATTAAGAGCATCTAACATGTATATTAATTCTGTGCTAAAGATTTTCAATATACTTATACATTTAATCTCTATTACCACCATAGATGAAATCACTGTCACTATCCTTGTAGTGATAAGAGAAAACTATTTTGTATATTACTGAAGGGGGTACAACTTTGAATAAGTGGTGAAGTCAAATTTTGAACGTGTGCACTCAGTGAAGCTCCTATGTTCTTAGGAACTATATCTCACTGTTTTACATGTATTATTTATAAAACTACTTTAGTGAGAAACTTTTCTTTCCTGTTTCCTAAAAGAAGACTCACTGTGGTCCTGAAAATTAATTTAAATTTTAAATATAATTATCTATTATTTTCCACCTTATAAAGGTATTATAGCAAATGTAAAAGCTTTTTGTTTCCTGATTTTCTGTCTTTTGAAAGAAACAATTTATTTGAAGTGAATTTTATTTTCGTTTAAGCAGTTTTTTGTATTAGTCATTTTAAGTCATTTTTCTAGATGAATTATATACATGAATTTATATAATTTTCCCCCAAATTTATTTATTTGATTTTGCATTAAAAATACAAAAATGCTCTGTTTTGTTTCAAGTAAATATCGTAAACCAATTTTGAACTATCAGTTTATAAACATTTTAGAATCATTGTGAATGCAGAAGGAAAAATAAAAGGATAAATGAGTCAAATTTAAATGGAACAGGGCAAATCATGCATAAATTGTTTTATATCACCTACAAAAGAGGCAAAGCAATCATGGATAAAGAAGTAAAGTGATTAAAATGAATAATAATGTCATAATGTAGATAATAATATATATTTGTATCATTTGAAGTATGCAATTATTTTCATATGATGAAGGTAGTGCCTTACACTTACTTAATAAAATCTTTGCATAGTTATAGCAAGACAAATATAATAATAGCATATATGTGGGTGGAAAGTTGGGGTGAGTATAAGAAATTGTATTTTTTCCAAAAATGTACGTGTGGGAAATAAAAAACGGTAAAAAGAGAGAATTTATGTTACTAAATATTATTCATAGAGGTATTCATCCTGAAATTTAGCCAAAATAAATACATAGTACTTCTGTTGAAGTTACAAGTGTTTTCAAAGTAACCTTTTATGATATTTTTTTTGGAGAGCTGGGGATCTTTTCATATTGTGACAATAGTTTTTATAAATATAGATGTATGAATTGTTTCTATTTTGGAAATATTCCCATTCAGTTGTCTTGGCATTTTTGTTTAGTAAAACAAAAAGATAATAAATATTTTTCAAATTTGTAAAGTATAAGAAGATTAAGTAAAGCAATTCTCCTGAAGAAATTTATGTAATATTATTATACTTGGAAAGAATATCTTCTTGACTAATTTTCCTATTTTTATCAAGGATAAGTAACCTTTTCTGTGAATAGTTAAATGGTAAATATTTTATACTCTGTGGGCCATGAAGTCTCTTATTACAAATATTTTATTGTAGCAGGAACACAAACATTGAGAGCACAGTTCAGCTAACTACTGATGATTAATATTCCTGCAGATAAGATTTATGAAATTTTGGGAAAAATCATAAAGCAAATACTTGAAGACAGCAGAAATAATTAGACACAGACAGAAGCTGATAAGAATTTAATCCCTAAAAGGATGGAAGCACACGGCTTAAGGTCAATATATTAATGTTTTTTTTTTTTTTTTCCTGAAGACTTGTTTTATTCTTCCTGTTAAAATGAACTACATACTCGTGCTGAAATCTGCAGTCTTCCTGACTTGAGTTGATAAAGGCCAAAGTTAAAGGCAACTATAAAGATTGTACATTGTGTAGATAAACTGAGATAGACAGAGAAGTTTATAATCCAGTAAGTTAGAAGGGCTTCACACATGTTATGATTTTTCTAAATGTCACATTCTCATAAAACAAAAGATTTTCACTATTTAAGAATATCATTTTGTAATATAATAGCCTGATTGAATAAAATCAAAACTATTCAAAGATGAATAACAAAATCCAAAATTTCTACAATGTGATTTTAAATCTACCCAGTATACGAAGAATTTAATAGACATGCAAAGAATCATGGAAATATATCAGTTGTGTGGACTATACAGGTGATATAGTAGAACCGAAGGTGATTGGTGACAAAAAGAGCAGTCAAGTACATGGAAACCACTCTAATAAATGTGTTCAAAGACTTAAATAATGGTCATGATGAAAGAACAGATGGGAAATCTCAATAGAGAAATGGGAGAAAATATGAAATAATGGAATGCTAGTCTTTCCTGTGACCAAACAATCTTCTCTTAACATTTATTTTTGTTCTACACTAACACTACTGTTTTCTGTCTTTTTAGTCAGAAATCAACTGTCACTCTGATTTTTTTTTGTTATATGACACTTCCTTTCTGATTGTGTTTTTTTAACCTTTTTAATTTTTTTTTATTTATGCATACAAGAACTGGGGTGTAAGCCAGAGGTGAGGGGGTATGGGGGGACAAGACAGAATGGAGAGAACAGGCAGATCTGCTGAAATACACTGCTAAGGGGAGCAGCGGGTGAGACAGGAGAGGTCTACTGCATCATACTTAGTTTAGCTCCCTAGCTGGGGATTGAACTCAAGCCATTGTAATGATAGCACTGAGACTTAATCCCCTATGCCACTAGGGAGTCACCCTGATTGTCTACAGAACAAAACTTACTAAAACTGGCCGTGATCAAAATCAGCCTCTGGGGAGTGAAACTTGTGATAACATAACGCTAAACACTTGTATGTCATCCTTTAGGAAACTGAAAAACATCTCCACAAAAGTAATCTAATGTGCCTCCCTGGTGGCGCAGGCGATTTAGCACCTCACTGTGGAGCTGTCCTTAGCCTCTGCACTGTGGGTTCAATCCCGGCCAGCCAGGGAGAAACCCACATGGCACGGCCTACCTCTACTGTCTTGCCCACTGCTCCCCTTTGCAGTGTATTTCTTCAGTCTGCCTGTTCTGTTTTCCGCTCTGTCTCTGGTGAATCCTCTCACCTTCCTGCACATCTGGCCTGTACCCTGGTACTTGTATAAATAAATGAATCTTAAAAACAAAAAAAGTAATCTAAGCTACCACATTTAGAGATAAACCATAGTTATATAAATATATCTTAGGGTCAGACTTTAGCAAATGGTACTTTCTGAAATATAAGCTAAACATGAATTTATGAAATAATCCTTATTAATAACTATTACAAGCTGTTTCTAAATTGATAATTCATACATTTATTATTTCTTTAAATCCAGTAATTCCAAGACTTGAAATATGCCTAATACCATGTTCTGATTATATTAATTTATGTATAATCCTGGGTTTTGACACATTAGAAACAACAACCAAAATGAAGATTGTAACGGCAGAGTCACTGACACGATGATGGATGAAATCTGGAAAATAAACAGGTAAGATCATTATGAAATAAAATAAATATATTCAAATATCACCTAAATCACATCCAGTTTGATAGGTTTTATAGTAGTCCTTTCAAAGCTAAATACTCATTTACATGATGAGTATTTACAATATTTTATATACAATTAATATTTATACATGCGCATATGTATATTATATAACATACATTGCATATGCATATGTACCTTTTCAAAAATGCATCATTTTGAAACCTGTAGATTTTTTCTTTTTTACATTTTATTTAAGTAGCTTTGCTTTATGATATTATATAAACTCCAGGTATGCATCATTAAAAATCAAAATGTTTACATACTAAACTAAGTTCACCACTAAATAACAAATTTCTTTTATAATTCCTCCCATGGCAACTCACTCAGGAAAATAGTTTACTTGCTGTTTATGAGTTATATTTGAAAGGATATGATAAACAATACGGTTGAACATCCAGCTAGAAGAGGTGATAGGACAAAGGTACAATGTGACACTCTCTCCATCTGTTCACTAAACTGAAAACTGAACTCCGTACTTTGGGGATTTTTCTTTGCCAGGAAGCTCTCCTATCTAGTCGTGATTAATCATCACCCTTTACCTTAAGAATGAAGTGAGGGTTGTATATGCCCTTAAAATCATGGCTTGATCTTTCTGGTTATCAGCCTGGAGTCCACTACTAGTCAGCTCATTAGAATGAAAGATATTGTTAAAATCCAGGAAATTCCAATGGACTTAAAAATTTTGTGTCAGGAACCAGGGTCAAAAAATAATTAGAACTAAAGATGCCCTTCGTCCTCTTATCAATAAGGAAAGTGCAAGTATTTCAGAAGCTCTGTGACAAGAACCAGAGGCATGCATATGTGTATGTGTGGGTGTGTGTATTTTCTATTATTTCACAATATTATTATGGAAAAAAAAGAAGGGGTAAATAGGAAAGTGAAAATGTGCCAATTATGTAAAACATTTGGTGTTTGTTTTGTTAACAATTTCATATCATTTGTTATAGTATTGTTAGATTAATATGCATATGCAATATGTAGTCTTAAACTGCCTTAGATTTGAGCCTGAACCCTATACTTAATCATGGGAGGAGGTTTGTAGTGTCTCTTTGTAAATATAATTAAATGTTAACTTTATTATTGACACTTTCCATATCTAAAATATATGAAGTAATGATATGCATAACATTACATAAAAGGGAAGTTAGTTACCTTTTTTTGTAATCTTTTGAGAAACATAACACCAATTACTCACTATTACGCTGTCTATATTCTTGATGTTGTCAAGATGACAGAAGATTTATATTTTTGAAAGTATTTTAAAAATGAAGATAGACTAATTTATATCAAACAGTTCAAATAATTTTTTTGATACTTGAATGTGATTGTATGAATGAAAGAATAACTATATTTAAGATGGTTTATTGTAACCACCACCAAATCATCTTTAAAAAAGCATGCACAAAAGTATTTATTGCTTTGAAATGTTTAGCTAATTGTATTTCTATAGTAAAGAGAATTTACGTAAAACTATTTTAATCTTTGAGATTTATCCATGTGAGCTTTCCCAGTTCCGAAATCAGAGGATTTTGTTTTTGCTTGATGTGTGATCATTAGCTTCCTTTCTCTATGAATTAGTAATCAGAGAGTTCTAATCAAGCAAAACCTTTCTGTTAAACAATGGAGAGTAATAGAAAGATTTTATCATTTGATTTGTATTTGTGGTAGATATAGTCATTCAGTGCAATCAGTTTTAACTCACATTTTGGTCCCAGGGACAAAAAAACCTCTAAAAGAAAAGACTCCTACTCAGCTTCTAAGGCTGTTTGAATATTGCAGGCTTTTGAAAAAAAATATGAATTTGTAAATATAGAGAAGAAACAAAAACAAATGTGATTTATGTAACCCTATTCTTTGTTAAGTGAAGTTATCCATACTTTAGAAACGTGGAAAAAACATTGATTCAATAGTCCTTTTAAAATTGTGAGTATTACAGACCTACCAGTGGATCATTTGCCTTTCTAATAGTTGTATGATTCTGAGTACTATTTACAATTGAATAGCTTTTTTTTTTGTTTTTGATATTTTATACTTCTGAAAAGTTATATAAAATGATTGCAAAGTAAAAAAAAAGTAAACATTTTTCATGTTTTTATGATGCCACTAATTTCTCTAGAAAACATAATATTCTAACAAGTAGTCTTTTTATTGTCCTATTAGACATCAGTCAGATTGAACCTAACATTGCAATCATACTACCAGCTTGCTTTCTTTTCTTCACCAAATTGTATTGATTTATCATTCATTTATATAACTATAGTTTGGAAAATAGTTTCATACCTTACCATATAAGAGGTTGCTGTTCTTTATTTTTTCATGCAATTTTATTTTATCTTAATCTGTTTTATAGGTCGAAACATTTTCACAGGCATTTTTGGAACCATAATGATTAGCAACACACAATAATGATCAGATTTCTAAGTAGCAATAATTAGACAAATTGTGTACCTCAGACATGCATGTTTCTGCATAGAAAATAGCTGAAGTTTTAGACTTGCACTTCTAGACTTGATTTCCCCATTTTAGTGTGTTAAAAAATGACATTTGCTAAATTTGCCAAAGGCGATGTTTATAGTCTGATGGCAACATGCTATTTCTCTTACATAATAAAGTGAATACTAGAACTTCACAGGCAGGATGTATAAGTGACCTTTGACTGGGAGGGGGTTTTCAACTTAAACAGCAGCAAATGAAGAGCGAATGGGTCGTCTCTGGCTGTCACAGTTACACAAGGCTTCAGGAAGCATTTCACTTCATGACCTCCAACCCAGAAATGTCAGTGCTTTTCCTTTCAATCTATTACTTCTAGATCCTATCTAAAAGGAATATATTAAGAGCATGGAAAATTTGCTTATATAAAAGAAACCCTGAAGAAGAGTAAGGGAGGGAATTTAGAAATTATGTTGAATTATGTAGTCATTGTAAGTGACACATTTTCTTATCTTCACATTAATACAAAACATAGTTACTCAGAACTGTTTCAGATTACTTACATGCCAGGTGAATTTTTAGTCCTCTACATAAGTGTTTGAAAGTTACTTATATTTCTATGAAAGGAGGTATTAATACATTTCTACAGCAGTAACTGCATACAGAGATGAACAAGACAAATCAAATCAAGGATTGTGTCAGGTTCCATAGTGTAGTAATTATCACATTTGCTTTACAAATCAAGGAGTGGAATTTTCCCAAACCTGTAAAATGAAAAAAGACTATAAACAGTTGATTCCATTCATATGAATGGGTTTCTTTCCTACATGCAAACCAAATGGAGTAAGTAATGGAGATGTGCAAAAACTTTTCTTGAGGGAAGAATTATGACCTCTGTAGTATTTAGTTTCTACCTTTTCTACCAAGTATGTTTTTTTCTGGATTGTCTGATGTCCATAATGTTAGATTGTCTGTAAGAAACTGTTTTGAGGGTGTTGTCTTTGTATGAGTCATCATTCAGTGAATTAAGTATGCAATGACCTCATTAAAAGCCATTTTAGCCAGTGTCCAGATAAGCTTTGTGTTATTAAATATCTCACAGTAAAATACATAAAATTAAAAGCCACCTCTAGATGTGTTGGGTGTATGGGTTGCATCTCTTCCTTGCTTATATCAAATGTCTTTTGATATTCTTCATGAGAATTATCTATCATTTGTTTTCAATCATTGCCATATGAAACTTCCACAAGGTACAGAAAGTAAAATCCTTTCATTTTAGATATAAGATCTTATATCTTATGTTAGTTCCATTGTCTATTAAATATTTATAGAATTCCAGGATTGTGGTTCTGGACACAGTTCAGACTCTGCTCTACCTATTGTTAATCAGCTGCAACTTGTTGTTATATGTGTTAATTTTCTGCTCTGTAGTACAGATGACACAACCACTTTTTTCTTGGCCAAAGAGAGCAGAATATGTTCCCTGTGGAAAGCTGTGAACCCTGCGCCTGTGTGGCCATCTCGTAGGTGACCATATAGCATGTTCAGCTATCTGCATCAGCTCCATCTTCATGAATTACTACCAATGTAAATTTATTTTTTGCTTTTTAAAAAAAATTGATGTTATATTCATTGAGGTTTATGACTATAAAATGTGATATCTCAGTATTTTAATAAAAATTGGAGAAAGGACCAATGTACAGAAAGTGTGACATATATTCAGAGTACACCATAACTTATGGAAAAATGTATATTCTGTAGTCAGATTCAAAGAAGAAAATTTGAATTTTCCAAAAAATACGTAAAAGTGGCAGAAATCAACATACTAAAATCCAAAATTGGAAAATTAATACAATTAATGAGTCTTCACATTCATCCAAACAATGGACTCTTTTAAAGATCTACAATATAAATATCCAGATCAGAAAAAAAGTTGTTTTTAATATAGTATCATATATACATACCCAGTTCTTTGTTTTGTTTCTTAAACTAAAAATTTTGAAAATTAGAATGTATTCTTCATTTTAATACAAAAGAATATGCTTTTTAATTATAAGGAATTCTATATTTTAAAATCTTTGCTACAATATATGCTATTTTCATTTGGTTTTTCAAACATATTTATGGTTAGATCTAGAATTAGCCTCCTTTAGTATATAGGAATTACATTATTTTCCAATTGTCACAATTCAGCAAAGCATGCACAAAAATGATTAAACATATATTCACTTCTCAATTATTCACACTAATGGAGAGGAAAAATATGTGTGTAAAAGTAAAACAAAGAGAAAATCTTAACTCATTTTTAACTTTGGAGTATAATTCATCATATCCATTTTCTGTAGCTGTTTGCACTTTGTATTTTTCAATGTCAAGGTCCTGTTTATCTAAGTTTTTACATCAGGACTCAGAAGATTTGGAAAGAATACTTAGAAATGTCAGGGGTACAAAGACCAATTCAGAAAAACTGACATTTTATTAAATGTAAACCAAAATTATATCAACAGAAATACAGTACTTACAAGGCATAGTATTTCTTATTTAAATAGGTAAAGACTCACTTATTAATAGTTAACATTTATTTTCTTTCATTTACTTATTTACTAGATGTCTATAACATCTCATGAAATACGATAGTTCTTGCTCTTCTAAATATTGCATTTTAGTAGTGGGGGTCAGGCAATTAAAAAAAAAGGGCAAAGATAAGTGTGATGAGATTGCTAATTTAGACAGTGTTATATTGAAAAATCTATTTTCATATATTATCATAGACAAGAATGAAACGTTAAAAATCCCAGCAAGAGAATGAATGTTGAAAACATAGTGATCAACAAGTCAGAAGGCCCTGCTGTAAATTACTTATTATATTTCCCTTATTTGAGGCTGCATGGCAATCTGAAGATGAGTAAGGGAATATTGAATTGTGGACATTGGGGTTTATCCTGCATGAGATAGGGAACAACTGGAACACTTCGAACAAGTTTGATGTGATCTTTCTTATATCTTAACAAAATCCTTCCTGGAAACATTAGAGTGTAAGAAGACAGGGTGTGTGTGGTAAACAATTAGGATGCTATTGAAAATTAAGGTGGAAGTGGTAAGATGTATTTGCATAATGGATCTATAAGTAGTTGGTATAGTTCATAGTTTCAGTATTATGAAGTTACTTTTTAAATTATTTGCCACTTTCCTCAGTGGCTACATTCTTTCAACCATTTCATTAAACTATAATATAAAAAAATTATCTTTGATCACTTGTTCAGTTCCTTAGAACCCTCACTTCTTATTTCAACAGTCCTTCTAAGTTCTATTAAAATTGTTCTTCCTAATAAAGCTGATAACCAATTCTGTTAAACTCAATTCAAATCTCAGCCTGTGAATTTTTTTTTTCCTTAGTATATTAGCACACTGTTTAGACTTTAATTTCTGTATACTTTAATTTCCACATAGATTTCTTTTAGAGAGCATGCAAGTGGGTATAATTTTGTTATGTAATCCAAATTGTCTTTCCTATAGTAGAAATACAAATTCCATTGTGCCATTTTTTTTTTTTCAATTGAGGTAGCATTGGTTTACAACACTGTATGTGATTTAGAGGTATAGGATCACACCTTTCAGATACACTTTACCACAACACACCATCAAGGCATCTGTAGTCCTCCATTCCAGTCTTTGTGACACACCCACTTTGTTCTCACATTTCCCTCCCATCCAGTTCTAAAGTCTTATGTCTAGGCTTTGTTATTGGTTTGGTTTTATTTAAAGTTATGTTTTGTTTTTCTATATTCTATGAGTAAATCATACCATCTATAATTTGTCTTTCTCTTTCTGACTTATTTTAATCAGAATAGTTCCCACCCTTTCCATCCATGTTGCTGCCAATAGCAAGAGATTGTCTTCTTTTATAGCTGAGTAGGATACAATTATGCATATATAACACATCTTCCTAATATATGTATCTCCCTTGGAAATTTAGCTTGTTTCCATAGTTTGGTTGCTGTAAATAGTGCAATGATGAACAGAAGGGTGACATGTGCCTTTGATTTGTGATTTTGTATTCTTTGGGTGATTACCTAGGAGTAGAGTTGGATCATGTGGTAAATTTTGAGCAGCCTCCATACTGTTTTCCACAGGGCCTGGGCCAGCCTACATTCCCACCAACATGTTGAAGCATTTGTACTTGTCCACATCTCCAGCACTTGCTGTCTCCAATCTTTTTCATAGGGCCCATTTTCACAAGCATGAGGGAGTCTCTCACTGTGGTATGATCTGTATTTCCCTGTCAATAGGTGAGGGTGAGTATGTTCCATGTGTCTGTAGACTACGTCTTATTTGGAGAATGCCTATTTAGCTCTTCCTGCCCATTTTCGATTGGGTTACTTGTTCACTTTTTGTTGAGTTCTATGAGTTCTCTGTAGATCTTTGATATCAGCCCATTTGTCAGGTGTATGATATGCAAATATTTTCTCCCATGCAATAGGATATATTTTTGTTTTAATGATAGTTTCTTTTTCTGTGCAGAATTGTTTTGGTTTGATGTAGTTCTGTTTATATTCTCTTTGGTTATCTTACTGATGGAGTCAAATCCACAAAGTCATCACTGAAGCCTGTGTTATAGGAAGTTTTGCTTATATTTTCCTCTGTGTGTTTTATGGTTACAGGTCTGATATCTAAGTCTTTTATTCATATGAGTTAATTTTTGTATGTATTGTGAGATAGTGGTCTAGTTTCATTCTTTTGCAAGTAACTGTTCAGTTTTCCCAGCACCATTTATTGAAGAGATTTTCCTTTCTGTAAAGCATACGCTTGGGTCCTGTCCATATAAGTATGGGTTCATTCCAAGTCTCTCAATTCCATTATATTGGTCTGTGTTTTCTTTTTCGTTCCAGTACCATATAGATTTGATTATTATATATTTATATTTTAGTTTGTAGTCTGAACCTGTGATACCACCATTCTCCTCCCTCCTTTTTTCCCAAGATTGTTTTGTCTATTCAGGTTTTACAGGTTTCATATATATGAATTTCAATAATGCTTGCTCTATTTCTTTAAAGAATACCATCGAATCTTTGATAGAGAGTGCATTGAATCTGTATATTACTTTGGGTGAAATGGACATTTTAAAAATGTTAATTATTCCCATATATAAGGAGGGAATATCTTTCCATTTCTTTTTGTCATTTATTTTATCCATGTATTATACTTTTCATTCTTCAGGTTCTTCTTCTCCTTTGTTAAACTTGCTTTAGGTATTTAATTCTTTTTGGTGCATTTGTGAATGGGATCAAGAAAATAATGCAATGGTTTTTCTTATCTTACTGTCTTTGTTCCTATGACCACTGCATCTTATATTAATTTTTATGTTCTTGAAAGCTTCTGACCTCATTCTAAATGTTATTAAATCAGAAAGTCTCTCCTTGACCTGCCATGGCAGATCCCCTGATATTTACTTTTAATTCACTAAATATATTATACTTGTGGGTTTTATATTTTTCCTTGACTATTTGATTTATATGTGTCTCATTTTACCTTGTTGGTGCTCATCACTGAATCCCCGGTTCTGAACTTGTCACAAATAGAAGCTATGAAAATATGAGATTGATACTAGATTGGTAACAGTGAAATTTTTTTCATTTGTGATTCTGTATTAGGATTCTACAGAGAACCGAAGGAATAAGAGATATGTGTACATATCTCTATACCTATCTATCTGAGATTTATTATAGAAATTGGCTTACAGGGGTCTCCCTGGTGGTGCAAGGGGTTTAGACACAACCTATGAAGCTGTCCGCAGCCACTGTAGCATGAGTTCCATTCCAGGCCATGGAGCTACCCACTGTCACAGCACACCTCTCCTGACTGACCTGCTGCTCCCCTCAACAGTGTATTTTAGTCAATCTGCCTGTTCTTTTCCCCTTGTCTCTGGTGAATCCTCTTATCCTCCCCACCTTTGGCCTGTACCCTAGTTCTTGTATGCATAAATAAATAAATCTTTAAAAAAAAAAAAACGCTCACAAACCTAGGGACCCAAAAAGTCCAGCAGTTTAATATCTGCAAGCTGGATAACCAGAAAAGATGGTGCTGCGTTTTTGTCTGAGACAAAGGGCTGGAAATAAAGGCTTCTGGTTTAAGTCTTAGACTTCAAGTGACTTGTTGAATGGGAAGAGTAACATAATTTCAACATATTTTTCCTTCTATAATTTTGCTGTCTCTTGAATGCAATTAAAACTCTCCTCTTTTATTTCACTGTTATACTGATTTTTGTATGGCAACAGTAAAAATAATGTTAATCAGCAGTTCACTGCCTTGTGTAGTCCAGCACAGTTATCTGTTGATGAAACCTGGAGTTAAGTCCTTTGTTAAGGTATTGTTTTATGGTGTTGTTAAGTATAATTTCACCTAAATCTATGTACTTTAGAATATGTTGTTTAGATTTTGATGACTTGAGAGATACAGTTGATTTAGGTTTAGCTGCATCTACAACCTTACATAATATTAGCTAGAGTGTTTCTCCCCTTTCCTCCTTTTTTTTCTCAGGCTTGGTTAGCTCTTCCCTTTGGGCAGTGGGCACAGTTTTTCCTGTTGAAATTTTTTATCTTTCTCAGGCCAGGACTCAGGAGCACCAGAAACCTCAACATAATAGAGGCTCTAATTTAATCAAGAGAAGGAGACTTACTATTTTTGTGGGGATTTGAACTACTAACAAAAAGTGTTGTCAAAAAAATAGGTTTCATGATTTTTGAAGACAATAGTTATCATGAACTGTGTAGGAAATTATTGCTGTTATCTTTCCTTTTCTCCTACCTCTGAAGACTTGAATTTACAGGAAAGACTTTGTACAAAATTTCTTGCATCAAATATATTTTATACCTTATCTTTTTAGAAGCCTCCAATGTTCCTTAAACATTCATGCAACGCTAAAGTGCAGATGTCTAAATTAATACTACTATGAGACATAAAACAAAAAAAAATCCTATTTCCCAAGTACAGTAGTCTAAATTATATTAAATTTCAAAAATCAAAGGCCAAATTCAGCATTTTGGGGATATTATTTATATTCAGCTCTATTCAGATCTATTTGCAACATTGTATTTATCCATTTTTTTCCAATAACATAATAAACCAATAATGTAAGATATCCAGGCTGAAAGAGAAATGCATTTATAGAAAATGAAAACCCTATTTGGAAATAGCAGTAAAGGGCACAGCCCGGCTAGCTCAGTTTGTAGAGCATGAGACTCTTAATCTCAGGGTCATGGGTTCGAGCCCATATTGGGCTCAGGTCTTTTCTCTGGGGAACTCTGGAAATAACAGAAAAGGAAGAGTGTTAGCCATTAGTATTGTTCAGCAAGGTACCCTGTTCTACTTACTGCCTCAAAAATGTATTTTACTTTCTCCTTAAAGTTAGGAACAATGATGTGAATTTGTTTTGTCTATGTTCTCTTCTATGTAGGTTTCACCTCCAATTTAATCCATTCTTAGTTACTTTTTTTTTATGGCACAATATTGTGGTGAAGTTTCATTCTTTTGCATGTGTCTGTCCGGCTTTCCTAATGTCATTTGTTGAAGAGACTTTCCTTTTTCTATTTTATATAGTTGCCTCCTAATCTCTACATGCTCAAAACTGCCACTCATGCATATACAAATATCCAACATTCAGTAGGGAAATATTTGAAACGTGGTCTCATTCAGTTGGACTGAGTCCAAGCAGTTTGATCATGTGTAATTGCAGTCTCATTTTCAAGGTTTTTTTTAATTATTAAAATTTTCAAGATGAGGAGGGACTTTGGATTTTCTGTGAATTCTCTAAATTTAAAGTATTGGTATTTGATTCAGTTAAGGGAAAGAAAAAACAATTTTCATGCCAAAATAAATAAATCTGTGAGCCAAATAAAAAGAATGGACTGCTTTTGTAAATGAGCCAATGAACAAATGAATGAGTGATAATTGTTTCTCAACCAATTTGGCATGAATTTTAAGGGTGACCGGGGCATATATAATATTGCGGTCAAAGACACTATTGTATAGTGAAAATACTTATGTCACCTGTAGGGTTGTAGTATGTGTAATTCCAAAATATAGTTGCAGTTCATACCAAAATACAGTTACAGTTCACAGTAAGCCCCCCCAAATGTGTATCTCTTATATATTGATTATTTTCAATTTTTCAAGTAGGGTCTTGAAAAGTAGTACATGCTGGAGAGTCTCTCTTTAAATTCCCCTTAGCTGCCTGAAGATGTATCCTACAAAAGGAACTAAATTGTTATAAAATTTCTCCCTGGGAGTTAAGTAGGGAAGATATATTCTCAGCAAAATATGGGATACTAGAAGTGACATCAACCAAGACAAGTTTTGTTCTACACTGTCATACTTCCCATTTACTCTTCAGAAAGTCCAACCATCTCAAAAATTACTTTTCCCTTAAGAGGTATATTTAGTCCTGATTCTAGAATATTTTGGGAAGTTACAAGTTTTTTTTTTCCCAGGTAACTGTCCTGTATACATAAGGTATACATGGTAATAAACATGTGTTTGACTTTCTTTTGTTAGTGCAGTTTTAATTATAGGATTCTCAGTTAAGTACTCAGAAAAGTAGAGGGGAATTGTTTTTGTACCCTACATACTACTTATTAGATATTTGACCTTGCATAAATTAATATGTATTTTTCTAGTCTCTTTTCTCATTTTTAAAATGACAAAGCCATAGTAGTTTATAAAATTGAAAGGATTAAGTGATGTCATCTATGTTAAAGTAAATAGTCCAGCACTAGGCAAATATGTGCTTGATAAATTTTAGTTATAGTGTAAATGGTAAATACTGAAGATTTTCTGAAGCAAAAAAAAGACTAAATTTTGAAATTGAGTTACAGGTCAGAGACAATTTTAAGATGACATTCAGTTTTCAATTGTACCTATTCTCCAGATGCTTAGCCTAAATTTCATATGAATATTTGTAGTGACATTACTTAATTATACAATAACCTGGAAATAGCAACTGGTCTTCAAGTTATCTGGGCTGTGATATTTTTATTGTCTACCAAACATTTCACTTATTGTTATAGTTCACCTGTTAAAAGGTCTGTATGATTTGCATTTCTGTTTTTATTCTCCTTCATTGAAACTTTGTTCATTTGTCTAGGTGATTGAGAGAGTCTGATGATCACTAAATAGTCTTAATGCATTTGGCTACAACCATTATAAAGGGAACTTAAGAGAAGGGGCTGCTGGGAGGAGAGCACATAAATTTATCATCATTTTTTTTTATGTTCTTCTAAGCACATTCTTCTGGATGTTTTTTTTTTTTCTACAATGGCATTAATTTCCTGTGCATATTCAACAACTTTGTGATATTTCAACTTTAAAGGGACACTAATGAGCTACGTATTGATTTTAAAATTCTGACTGCTCATTCAAAATGAATTGCTCTTGAAAATTACTTTTAAAAGGAACTTCTTTGTTTTCAAGTGACAGAAATATGTGAAATGTCAAAGTTGAATCTATTGCATATGAAGAGCACAAATAGATTAAGTTACTGGAAAAATTATAATCATTTCAAGTTCATCTTTTAAATACATAGTATCATAAAAATCATTACCTGTTTGCTGGGACATACTTTTCTGTAGATACTGCTAGTTTAAAATCTGAGACTGTTTTGGAATATGCATTTAGAAAACCATGAAAGTATAATCAGGTAAACTTTTTTTTTCTCTCATATTGACATGTTTGAATATATTCTTATTATCTGGTGACTTAAGACTTTATTGTAAGTAGCTATTTACTATGTTAACATATATTTTAAGGCAAATGATACATTGCCTATCTTATTAATGTTTTAGATAAGTGGGAATTTAAGATTTTTCTTTATACCTTAGTAATTATGGTATAGTTACTTAGATGATATTAATAGAACTTTACTTTTGTATTGATAGTATCTAATTGCAGGTATACTATAGTGCATAATTACTATTAAATATGGTGTATCATTCCACTTGGCAATAGATAATAATGTGGAAGGAGCATTTAAGCAGTCATGTTTCAAAAAATCATTATTATTGGTGTTTAATGCTCCACATAAATACTTTTCTATACAAAGTGATTTAAGATTATGCATGGAAGAAGTAGGATTTTGATAATCTGAAGGAGTAAAACAGAAAATAAAGAAAAAAAAAAGTTAAGCTATTTTACAAAAGACTAAACAAATACCTGGAAGTGATGATAGATTCCTAAACTCTACTTATGATCATTTATCTACACTTAAAGTGTGTGACATTATTCAATAGCTCTTATTGTGACAAATTTCTCTCCCAATAGACTCAATTTTGATTATACTTATGTGTCTGTAAAGCATCTCAAATTGTTCCCTGATATTGACTGTTGTGTCCCAAACTTGCAGAATATTCTCTTTCTCCAGGCTTTCCTAACAAATCTATCTATAGATTTTTTACACTTCATTCAAACCTTTTAAACTCCAGAACACACTGAGATTTGTCTCTTTATCATTCACCCCCTACACTGACCTATTCAATCATGTTATGCGAGGCATGATGGAGGACTGAGTAGGTACCACAATAGTGAGTTAGAACAGGAATATGGTAACAAAAATGATGACAGATTCAGTACCAGATATAATAGGAAAGTTTCTGATGTTCAGAAAAAAGCTGATACCCAGATGTCAGTGGGGATATCTAAGAATCAAAACACAGAATGTTAAAAAATGAAAAATAAAATGTAGAAGATAAATATAGCCAGGCAGGAAACTGAAGTTCAAGAATGAAGAAAACACATCAAAATACTAGTATAAATGGAAAAAAAAATCAAATCAGCAAATCAACAAAGTCTTCTGGCCATTGACAGTTTCAAAACCACATAATGTTTGCTATCAGTGTTTGTGATAGCAGAACTCTTTATCCAGGTCAATGCTTATCTAAAAAATTCTATTTCTTTTCTTCACATTCTATTAAGGAAACATTTCATTGGTGTTGATGGCCAGGTACATGTCATAAAATCCTTTGTGATGTATTTTGAGTAATTTTATGTTAACTGCTTGTACTTAATAGTTTCATTTCTTGTACTTAATAGTTTCACATGTAGGAAAAAGTAGTATAAAAGAAACTTCTTTATAATATTTTAATTGTGCTCCCACATCTGGTGCTATCCCTTCTCCAGAGTGGACAGGACCTCTAATAGATATTTTTTACTTTCCCAAGGCATGGACTTCTATTTCTTTCTTCTCCTTACCTTTGCACTAATAAATTTTCTCAATTTTTTTTGTATATCTTTTCTAAATATTTTACCCTTTGACTATGAGTTGTTTTCCAAACCAATGATATCACTTATGTTTCTGTTGTTTGTATGTGTATTAAGGTCAGGCAGGGGTGGGGAGGAAAATAAGTATTATTTTTTTTCTAAAGACTTATTTATTTATACAAGAGCTGGGGTACAGGTCAGAGGCACAGGAGAGTGAGAGAATTCACCAGAGAGAGCGGGGAGCAGAACAGGTAGATGGACCGAAGACACTGCTGAGGGGAGCAGCGGGCAAAGCAGGAGAGGTCAGCCATGCAATGAGGGTATCTCCCTGGCTGGCTGGGAATCGAACCCACGCTGCAGAGGCTGTGGACAGTTTCACAGTGCTGTGCTCAACCTGCTGCGCCACCAGGGAGGCCCAGAAGTAGTCTTTTGTTTCTCTTCTTCACTGTCTTCCTCCCCACTCACCCTCCTTCCCTTCTTTTTTCCAGTATTGATCTATAGATATTTATTTTATACTTTGGGTAAACATCTAAAATTACTTTATTTTGATCCTGAGGTTCTAGCTTTGGTCAATGAGACCTCATTTAATTATCTCCTCTCCTGAATCTCTTTGCCATAATTCCTTCAATGTACAGTAGCTCTGTTTCCAGAACATCCTCCTTTGATAGCACTGCAATCTTTTTAAGACTTATCTTAATATATTTCTTGTCCCAGTCACAGATTCGGCCATTTATCTAAATCATTGTGGTCCCTTTAATTGGACAATGTTAGAATCTAAGACCTAGGAAATAGGCATCATTGTTATTATAGGGATATTTTTTTCCTTCTAGAAATTCTCAACTGATAGACAAGGAAATATATGTAATGTACTAACTTAATTTTTATATACTTATCAGCAATTACTTCTCCATAGAATTTATAGTATTTTATTAACCAAAATTGAGTTTATCTTCATATGAATCCACATAGATTCCACATGGATCGTTCTAGCCTCTGTCCCTTTCTTTATCTTCCATTTTAACTGTGAGAACC